TACTAATATACTACACAAGGTGAAATACCAACTACTGCTTGAAAATTATAGCAAGGAAGAATTAAAAATTAGCCGTATCTATACAAAGCTTAAACGACAAGCCCTTAATCTATACCAAAATATAAAAATATGTATGGAAAATTTAGGTTACAATGTCAAGATCCCGCTCTTTTGAACCAAATCCCAAAAGTAATAAAAAATTAACTAACTTTGAAAAATATTAAATATTAAGCTTAAACAGTATTTTATAGACAAATTGATAATGACACCTACTAATAATTTATACTAAAAAAAACTATACTAACACACATAATATACATAAATATAAATCTACTAATAAATATATACATAGATACACACAATCGTAACATTAATATCTCGATTACTAATATTATTTATCAAACTCGCTCACTGTCCTTTGCTTTGGTACACATATAGTTAAAAAAATATTGTCAAAATATTGTCACACCACGTATTATGTAAGTTGTCGCTACGCGAACCGATTGAACATGGTCGAAGTTACGAATCAGCGGTACATGGAAAAACTTTTGAAGAACGAGAGAACGAACTTTTGAACTTTTTTTTTGAAGTTATTTAATAATAAAGTGCCTCTATCTTGAAGTTCGTATATCTCATAAAGTATTATTTAAAAAGGATATACCAATACTATTTTAACACTTCTATCGAAGTAACAAATTAATGAACGTGTGTAACATGTACGCGGTACTAAAAATGTTTCCGATTTTCAAGATTTCTAGCGACAGAATAATGAAAATGATGCCTCCAATTTCTCGACTCGTTAATTTTATTGTCAGTAATTACTCGTACTCTGAAGACGATGCATAAATATACATTATCTGAAGACTAATTGATCGTCATTCTATTACATTTAATGTAACTGTTCTAAAGGGTATCAAATACCGGAAGTGCAAAAATAAAAACACTAACTTGTTCCAAAATTAACTTGTTTTATCATTCTTATTTTTAAATGTTTTTAAATTATATGAATTTTTTTGGTGGCAAGTGGATGCTATGGTTCTTAGAGATATCATTATCATTCACATTCATCTATCCTTGATTACGAATCAAAATGCAGATACGTTTTTACTCCTGAAAACTAAGATGAAGTGTCCCTTTTTCAATATAAGGGTCTCCGGTTTTCTACACTCAACGTATGAAACCTAGCAGCATTGAGCTGCTATTTTAAACATGTAATCAGTGTGAGCGCGAGACTTCCCCGGGCCAACCGACTCATTTGTTCTACCACCATAATAATTGTAGCTGCAGCATGGCTTCACCACGTAACATTTTAAACATTTGAAAGACAACGTCTTGTTCACTTTTACTCTTCGGTCATCAATTTTTACATGCTGATGAAGCAGAAAAAAAATTTTACACCCGTAAAATATACCTACAGCCCATAAAATGCTGTACATGAAAGGTAGGATTTGTCTTAATCTTAACGCTTGGCAGGGATTGATGATCGTATCATTAATCCTACAAGCGTTAATGAAATGATTACACCGCCATATGTCATGAGTTATAAGATCATTTAGACATATTTCATAGTCATACGCATAAGATGAAATTGATGTTTTTTTTTTCAAAACAGCCTAGATTGAATGCGATACAAGATGAGAATGGCTGTATTCTGAATGATGAAGTGTTGAGTTAAAGAGATGGAATATCTTGAAAGCGTATTTATGAATTAGGAGACTTGTGAACTAAATGAAATAGAAATTCCGAAAGAAGATGAAAGAGATAGGGAAATAAGTATAGATGAAATAATGAAAGCAATGAAAAGCATGAAAGTAAGTAAGGCAGCCGGATATGATAGAGTTTCAGGAAATGCTAAGGGCTGGAAAAGAAGTGGTGGCAGACCTGCTGCACACCCGGTTTAATTTATGTTGGGAACTAAAGCGGGTACCGGGAGACTGGGGAAAGGCCGTGATAGCCCCAATATAAAAGAGAAAAGGGTCACAGCAGGACTGTTAAAACTACCGTGGTATCAGCTTTCTTAGCATTGTGGGAAAACCGTATGCTAAGGTACTAATTGAAAGAGTTATGAAAGAAACTGATGGAAAAATTTGGGATGTGCAAGCGGGATTCAGAAAGGAAATGGGGTGTACAGATCAAGTCTTTTCCATGCGAATGATCGCGTAGAAGTTTTTGGCGAAAAACCAAAAAGTCTTTTGTGCGTTCATGGCCTTGGAAAAGGCTTATAACGGAGTGGACAGGGATGTGTTATGGCAAACGCTGAACTCATTTAGGTTGAACGCTGGGTTTATACAGGCGTTAAAGTCTCTGTATAGGGACTCGAGTGCTTGTGTTAGGATCAACGGGGCCCACTCAGACTAGTTTGGCATCCATAAAGGTGTCAGATAGGGCTGTGTAGCTTCACCGTGGCTGTTCAAAAATTTGAAAGTTGAAGAATGCGTGTTAAGAATGGGTGAATTAACCATCAAATGCCTTTTATACGCCGATGATCAAGTCATACTTGCGTCGTCGGTGGTCAAGTTGCAAATGATGGTTACATTAATGAACAGGTCATTAATGGAAAGGGGAATAAAAGTGCATGCAAGTAAGACGAAAGTTATGGTTTTTGAAACAGAAGAAAGTAAAACTATATTTGAAATAAGAATAGAATGCGAGATGGGCGAGCAAGTAGATGAATTTATATATTTGGGATGTGTATTCAGCAGGGATGGGAGATATGATGAAAGTTGGGTGTGTCAGAAGAAGCACGAGAGTAGAATAAATGCAGTAGTAATGCGGACGTTAGGGAGTATGTTAGGGCTAAATCTGAGTGACAGGGTGAGAAACAGTGTGATAAACGAAAAGTGTGGTTTGCAAGATGATGCGGTGACCAGGATTAAGAAAGGAATGCTTCAGTGGTTTGGTCATGTAGAAAGAATGAATGAGGAAAGAATAACAAAGAAAATATATGTCGCAGAAGGAAATTAAAGAGTCGGAAAGGGACGTCCTAGTCGAAAGTTTGTCGACCAAATTAAAGATATACTAAAAATGGGTATCCTTATCCGACTAGCATGTATGCGTAGGTATATGGATGTGGAAAAGGAGAGAGAGGTATGTCAGGATCGTGCTAAATGGAAGTCTGTAGTCTTTACCTACTTCTCTGAGTGACAGACGTGAGTATTTATGTTATTTTATGTGATGTTTTTTGTGGGTTTTTTTATAGGAGAGGGGCAAACGAGCATATGTCTCACCTGATGGTAAGTGATTACAGCCACCCACGAACAATTGCAACACCAGGGAGTTGCAGATGCGTTGCCGGCCTTTTAAAAAGGAGAAGGCTGTTTTCTTTAAGGTCCATAAGTCGTATCGGTCCAAAAAATCTTTAGTGGTAGTCGATTCCACAAGAAACCTGTGCGAGGAAGAAAACTTTTTTTAATTCGTACTGTGGTGGACCGTCAGTTGTCCAAATCGTATGTATTAGTCCAGACCATTCCTTAAAGCACTCCCTGTGGTAAATGCGATAAAATACGCAAAGGAATGCAAAACCTCTTCGCAGCGCCAGTGAATCGAGCCGATCGGAAAACACTCGGTCGTCGACGATTCTAGCCGCTCTACGCTGGATGCGGTCAAGTGGAAGGAGCTGACACTGGGGAGCCCCAGCCCAGAGATGGGAACAGTATTCGATATGCGGCCGAACCCGCGCCTTTTAAAGTTGCAGGCGGTGTGCTGGCATGAAATACTGTCCCGCTCTGCTAAGCACGCCAAGCTTTTTAGAGACTTGGCCTTCTCTTCCAAGTGACCATGAAACAGCACGTCACTCGATATGTCAACACTGAGGATTCCAATACTGGCTAAGGCAAAAGAGGGAGTGCCTTAAACATGAGGATATAGGACGAAGGGGTTCTTTTTAGCGGTAAACGCGTCAACTTATGTTTTTTGGGGATAGAACTAGACTAGATATAGTCGCCCCCAGTTACTTCAGACACAAGTTTGTTGCGGTACTTGGTGACGTTTTCTCGATAAATATTGGCACGGCCGGTATATAAAGCATCACCAGTGCTGCCGTCAGCATAACAATGAATGTTTCCGGTTTTCTACATATAATAATAATATAACTATAATAATAATGTATATTATTGTTTATTTTTTCTCCAGTCCAACCAGATGTAAATACTCTATCAATAACCCCCATAATGTTTATTTCTTCTCATAAATACCGACCATACATGATAAAAACTTATATCTATTTAAATACAGGTATATTCATATTCATAGCCTAGAATCTGTGAAGAGCTGGTATTTGGGATAGGCAATAAAATGCCTGTATTACAAATCACCGGGTCTCAACCCCATGAGATACCAATAAGAGCATTATATGTAATTGAGCGTTACAGATATTGTAGATCTTAGTATGATGTCTTAATGTATTATTACGTATATCGTAATGCCAACATATCATCGATATGCAGAAGAAACTGCGTTGCGTAACGTTTAGTTCCTTATTATATCAGTTTTTATATAAATTTGCAGTCATTTCATTTAGTACTACAACATCGAGAACAAACATGCAAATTGTCAAAATCTTATCCTATCTGATTCATGCCCGCTCTAAATAAAATTAACAAGTTCTCTGCTAACGCGGTCAGTGCTGACCGACAGCGAACTTTCCATTTAGGCCAAGCAAAAATCACAATTCCATTCAAATTCGTTCAAATTTTTTTTATTTTTAGATACTTATATTTAATGCTTAAATGTATATTTTCATTAAAAAAAGTAAATTTGGGTCATTATTTACGGAGATATCAAATGTCGGACAGCAATAACCGACGCGGCCCATGGAGACAAAAATTCGACTATCCGTCACAGGGGGCCGCGCGGGTCGCGGTGTCTGGTCGCCTCTCGTAGCTCCCGAGTTTGTAATCTCACTCGCGCTTACGCAGTTGACGTCCGTATCTTCAGTTGCGCAGTTTTGTCAACAACTGTTACACAAGATATTCAATTGTTTACTGAAATTTATTATCATTATGGACGATTTCGAAGATTTTGAGATTACTCAAGACATCTTAACTCAGATCGAAAATATAGAAATCAATCTTCTCGACAAAACTTTAAGCCTAAATTCTGATGAAGAAAATATTCAACCCCTCCGATCGAATAAGAGGCGCCTGCGGATCCTGTCAACAAGTGAAGGTAGTGATGCTGAAAAAGGTCGCGCTATCCAAGATTTAGAAAGTAGTTCATCATCTAAGTGGACAGAACCCAGAGGTAATCAACGCAATGTTGATTCCTTTCACTGAATGTTGCGGCATGCCAGTTTCTATTCGGATGTCAATGAGTAACACATCTCCAGCTGATTTTTATGCACTTTTGGTGACAGATAGTCTTTTACAACAGATTGTAGAATGTACTAACGCTTTCGCAATAACTAAGATAACTCACTCTACAGAAGCTTCAAAAAATGCAAGAATTCGCTCATGGTCGGAAACTAACCTCCCCGAGATAAAACATTTTGTTTGTTTGTTTTTGTACATGGGTTTGGTGAAGCTTCCAAAAATGGCTGATTATTGGTCCACGGATGATATTATGGGCCAAAACTTTCCACGAACTGTAATGTCTAGAAATAGGTTTCAACTGCTTTTGCAAATGATCCACTTTTCGCAAGATGATGATAATAATAAATCGGACCGACTGCACCGCGTAAAGCACTTGCTAGATGTGATTAATGACAATTTCCGGAGAAATTATATTCCTTGTGAGGACGTTTAGTATTTCGCCAATATAAGAAGCAAATTATTTAAACTGTGTACCTTGCCAGGGTATACATACAAGATCAATATACTCGTATACACTGGTAAACAACACGAACAAAACAATGTCACCCCTCAAAGAGTGGTATTGAATTTTTTTGAGTTTTGAAATTATTTTGAAATTGAGTGGTAATGAACCTTTGCCAGGACTTACTTAATAAAGGACACTCGCTGTACACAGATAATTGGTACACTAGCGTGGGCTTAGCCAGAGAACTCCTCAGAAATGAAATACATTTAATTGGCACTTTAAGAAAAATAGAAAGCATTTCCCTGAAGTTGTAGTTTCTACTAAGCTGAAAAAAGGCCGGTTCATAGCGAGAGAAAGTGATGATGGGATCACTGTTTTGAGATGGAAAGACAAACGAGATGTTTTGGTGCTTTCCACAAAACATTCAACACGTTTCGTTTCAGTTACCAAGAATAATAAAACCAAAATGAAACCGGCTATTGTTGTAGATTATAACAAGGCAAAGGGGGCAGTGGACTTATCTGATCAGATGGCAGCATATCAGACACCAAAAAAAGACCATTTTGAAAAAAAACTTTAAAATGGAACTATAAAATGCTTTTGTTCTGATTTTAAATATCGCCATGGTGAATGCTTTAGTTTTGTATAAAACTATCACAAACAAACATGTACCTATTGTAGACTTCAGAAAATAAATACTAAAGAGTTTTTTGGCAAAATCTTCCACATCCAGAGCGTCTTCAGAACGGACGACAAGAAGGAAACACGTGCTTCAGAAAAAAGAAGGACCTTCTCTGAAGGTGCGTCGGATGTGTGTAATAAGCAACAAGAATAATGTGAACACATTTGGGCGTGCATTGTCCAGAAACAAAACTAAAAAAGTGTGTACTTTTTGTGACACTTGTGTAGACAAACCTTTTCTATGTGTTGAATGTTTTGCAAACATACATATTTATATGATTTTTAGTAATCCTTTTATTGTTGTTACCTAAATAATTTGTGGAAAAAAAATTATGAAAAATTATTATTTTTACTTTGATTACTATTCGATACAATCTATATTTTATTTGTGTTTCATTTTTATAGATAGATTTACCCCAATAAACTTTTTGGTACATACACAAACAGTTTTTGCTTATAATTTTTGCTAAATATTTTAAAAAGCATCGATTGAAATCTAAAACTATTGAAATACTAACGACACCTACAAGAAACTATACCACATCAATCGAAAACATACACAGTCATAACATAACGACATGATAAATTCAACATTGTTGCCCGATATGAAAAAACCTAGTTTTGGTTTAGTTTGGTGTAATTTACTCGATAAATTAAAACTTAAAATGTAAGTGCTTTAATTATTTTCCTTTATTTATCACTACTCCACGTTTAAAGAAAAACTTTAACAGAATAATGAGTGATATCTCTGTTAAAGTTTTTCTCTACGAACATTTTTGTCTTTGGTAACTGTTGTTTTCTTTTTTTTTTGTCTAAGTCCTTTACATTTTTCAAAAACCAACTTGATTTATAATACCTAGAGGACCATGTGGGTCAATAAATATAGGATTTAGTTTGATAGCACTGCCCGACGGCTTGTAATAATGGATTGAAAACACTCGTAAAACGCGGTCAGCACTGACCGACGCGGCTCGAATGGAAAGTCTATTTGTCGACCAGCATTGACCGACGCGGGCTGAACGGGAAGATGCATTTTTTCTCTTGGCGTTCAACGTGACTATATAATAATCCACTATATAAAATTGAATTATCTTACCTAAGGAAGGATTACGATAAACTAATAAAAATGTTATTAGAATTATATTCTACACATCGAGGAAGCTGTTAGCAATAATCCGAGGTATTTTTGGACACATAAAAAACATGCGTCGTAAAAGCCCAAGTTATTCTAATAAAATACCTCTGAATGATCGTAAGGCAAACGGTAGGCAAGAAATATGAGATTTGTTTAGTAGTCATTTCTCATAGGTTTTTATTAAGGATGATATTAATAACAATTATGATACAAAACCAGTCTTTAAACCAAAAAAATATTTAGGCATTATTTACGTATCTAAACGAGAAATTGAGAAAAGGCTGAAAAATTAAATACAACAAAAAGTGATGGTCCGGACGGCATTCTGCCTATATTTATATATAGGTGTTCAAATTCTTTGGCTACTCTGTTGACTTTTATATTCAACGCCTCCTTCAGCTCTGGCATTTTCCCCGAAAAGTTTTAAAGTTTTAAAGTTTTTTAAATTGAAAATCCTACAAGTTTTACTAATTATAGACCTATTTCCATACTACCTACTATGTCAAAGGTCTTTGAGAGCTTAGTCTATGAATCAGTTTTCAAGAATCTCAATCAACGTATTAGTTGACAGCAAAATGGTTTTTTGTCTGGTAGATCTATTGTCACACATCTATACTTATACGTTACCGATTTAATTGAGAAAGTTGATGACAAACTACAAGTGGATGCTATATACACAGACTTCTCTAAGGTCTTTGACAAATATTATATAATAATATAATATATAATATTCAAAAACTGAAGGTAGCCGGACTAACTATGACATTGGGACGTCAAACATCTCAGTCCCCCCCGTAAATTTAAGAAATCATTATATATAAATAGCTCACTTGACATAGCTACCTAAAGTAAGTGATTCTTCATAATGTAGCTTACCCGCATCCTACGTTTACAAATAAAGGTAAATTAAACAACAGAAGCTGTGTTTAATATGCATGTACGTATCTTGTTTCTAAAATCACTTTTACTGCCTATAAAGGGATCGATGGTATTAAATGTTTTGATTGCAAACATGTTGAGATACTATTTTTACCATAAAGTGTGGAATGACGAGGTATACTAAACAAAATTTTCTTGGTGATTCTTGTACGTTTTTTTGCACATTAAACGTAACAGTATTCAGTTAATCCGGGCAGTCAATACCATCGCGTAAGATATCGTATAGAAATCCCATATCTAACAGTTTACGTCTTTCTTCAAGCGTAAGAGGGTTATAGTGTCGGTAGTCATCTAAATATTATGAGCTTTTATGTTTAAATTTATAGTTCAGGTGTGAGATAAATTTACGTTGAATTCTTTCAATATTATTAATGTAAATTTTAAAAAATGGTGACCAAACCTGGCATGCATACTCAAGAGTGGATCTTACATACGAGAAATAAACTATTTTAAAACTTAGTAAATCCGTAAATGGAAGACATGTACGCGTGACAAATCCAAGATTACGAAATGATTTACTACATATACTATTAATATGATCTCGCATGGCCATACCGACATCAAAGAGTACGCCTAAATCCCGAACAACTGTGACCCTCTTAATTAAAATTCCATTGAAATTATAGGGAAATACTATGGGGTTTAGTTTTCTGGTGAAAGATAAGAAAAGGTCTTTAAAGTGCCATCAAGACTGCCTAGGAATCCGAACGCCTTTTTCAAATGTATTCTTTTATAGATCTAACTTGGGAAAGTATTCCTCTTTAGCAAGACTGGCTTGTACTTATAACGTACTATCCTCGAAGATTTCTGGCCTCGATATTACTTACGGTAGTTTATCTACCTTCAAATCAAAATTAATCAATTTCTTTAAAAATAAAGAATTAATTAATTAATTAATTAATAAGTATAATATTGAAATTGTTTTTGTTTTATATAACGTGATTAATGTAATTTAATATGATAATGAAGTTGTCTATAATATTGTTAAATAATTCTATTTCTTTTTAATAATTTATTTATGCAATGATGTATTTCAATTTTTTCTTTCTTTTTATAATCTTTTCATTTACTAAATAATCAATACATGTTGTGATTACCTGTAAAAATAAATACAATTATAATGTGCTTAATTCGTTAAGAAAATGATCTTTGTATTACTGTGGTAATTTCTGTTGGTAATCCTAATAAATAAATAAATAGCGATAGCCTGTAGTTAGACGGATCGAAGTGGTCGCTTTTTTAGGGATCGGGTGCACTAACTGTTTTCCATGATTTCGGGAGTACGCCTAGGGAATAAGAGTACCGTAAAATACGCATTAAAACCAGTGCCACACACGTCTTCAGTACAAAATGAGGGACGCCATCAGGCCCACTCGACTTGTTAAAGTCCAGGGAGAGGAGTACTCTTTGCACCGAGCGCTGGGTAAGCATATCCCACATGAAGCACTAACACCGCGGGATGTTCCCCCCGTCATCAAGAATCATGTTGAGTTCAAAAAGAAAGCCAAGTAGATCAGCTTTATCCTTTGTGGCATGGCCAGTGAGCCATCTTCCCTGTACAGAGATGGGGGAGATGGCCGACAGAAGTTCCCTTGGACAGCCTTGGAGAGAACCAGAATACACGTATTCCCGAAGGAAGTTAACTATTTTCTCGCCAATTCTACCGATATGCTTTAACTTTGCCTTGCAAATGACACTTGAGGCGAAATTATACTTATTTGTCGACGTCGGTGCGTGAGCTCAGGCCAGGTAGCACTCCTGCTT